TACCACAAGGGAATGTAGAAGAAAGGAGTAAGGAGAAAAGTTTTGTGAGAAATAGGAGGGAGAATTAAAAGAGAAAGAAGACAATTGTAGGAAGCTGTGGGAGAGTATAACAGCTAAGAGAAAAGCATCATAGCAAGTAATGGGAGATTACTGTGGTGACATGGGCCAAAATTTAAAAAAGGGAGTGCCTAAAATTTGACACTCACATTGAAAATACCCTGATTTTCAGAACAGACATGCACCCACTTATTTTAGGGATGTAAAATCCCAATTTATCAGTTAACTAGTTAAGCTTTAGGGTTGCCTAACCTAAGCCCCTGCCCATGGGATGCCCAGGCCCACCACGACAGGAACTGTTTGGGATGAGAGCAACCCCTGTCCGCGGCAGGCCCCCTGCAGGGCTAGAGCAACCTGGTTTCCTGTGGCAGGTGGGGAACTGCTCCAGCTCCCCACTACCGGTTAACCAGAACCAGTAAGCATCACCCATTTAGGGTGATGCTTACTGGTTAACTTTTCACATCCCTAACTTATTTTAGTGGGAGCAGCAGGGTGTTCATCTTCTTTGAGGATCAGGCTGCTTTTCATTAGATACTTAAATATGGATGGGCCTGCCTAGCTTTAGGCTTTCATGTTTGAAAATGTTGGCCATAGATCAGTTACATTAAAAAGATACTTGGTGAGTTGACTAGAGTGGTGGCATAGCAGAAACACATGCTACTGTGAGGAGGCTTGGAGTCTGGTTCCTGAGCTCATATTCTTGGTTGCCAGGCAGTCACGGCTGAGAGCTATAAATGCAGTGGGTTGTGTGTGTACTGGTATAATAGAGAGTGTTGCATTAGTCTCGAGTAATTCCCTCTGACCAGAATCACTATACTAAATATTATATTTAGGAAGGAAAACTCAAATACACAAATTGGGGAATAACTGGCTAGGCAGCAGTACTTCAGAAAAGGATCTGGGGCTTATAGTGGATCACTAAGGCCTTGTCTCACTGACTGGGAGAGTGATGCTGCAGCGATCAATCTCTCGGAGTTCAATTTAGAAGGTCTAGTAAGGACCTGCTAATCGACTGCTGGTGGTGCCCTGCCATTTCTGGCAGTCTACTGGGTCATGAGGAACAAGGGAAGTCACCAGGAGAGTTTCTCGCATCGATCTCCTGCAGTGCGGATGCTGCAGAAGTTCAACCTAAGGTATATTGACTTCAGCTATGCTATTCACGTAGCGAGAGTTGTATATCTTAAGTCAACTTTCTCCCCTAGTGTAGACCTGGCATAACTGAATATAATTCAATGGCATGATGGAGTTGTGAAAAAGGCTAATATTCTGGGGTGTATTAACATGAGTGTCAAATGTAAGACATGGAAGGTTATTGTCCCGCTCTATTCAGTCTTACATGGAGTATTGTGTACAATTTTGGGTTTCATATTTTTAGTAAGATATGGACTAGTTGGATAGATTCCAGAGGAAAGCTACAAAAAAGATAAAAAGTTTAGAAAACTTGACCTATGAGGAAACGGTTAAACCTCTGTGTGCTAGGAATGACACACTGAAGTCCAGGGAATTGTCCAAAGTCTGGGAATATCCTGTGAGAAGGGAGAAAGAGAGACATGTTTCCACCCAAGAATGGCAACAACTATGAAGATAGGGAATAGGGAATTTCACTCAGGCTGTAACACCTCCAGAAAAAAGTACCACTGCCAGGAAAGGTTTATACATACTAGTTCAAATCTCCAGAGATCGCCAGACAAAGAAAGGACTTTTGGATAACTAGCCTATATATCCCCAATAAGACTGATTCTGGTAAGCTTTCAGCATTTGTTTAGGATTGTTTTTATAGTTTCTTGATAACACTTTCATATTCACAATAAATAAGCTTGCTTATAAGGGGATTGTAATAAAGCTTTTAAAGAGTAAGCAAAGCACAGATGCTGGTCTAGTTAGCTAATCTAGATAGCAGGAAATAATAGTGTCGGTATGGAACTGTGCAGCCTGGAAAAACCCTGGTCAGGAGAGCTAGAGAGTTTTGGGTCTCTGCCAAAAGAGATGATGTCCGGGGAGCCAGGATCTTGGACAACTGAAGAGGAATACAGATGTAGTATGTATACTCTGAGCTGTGCAAGAGTGTGCATAAAAAAAAAGTTTGAAGAGATTCAATTTTACAGAGACGATAGCAAACACATAGACGGGACACTCAGGTGTGGTGGTACAATGAGGTAATATTAATTTACTTGAGCAAAAAGTGGTTGAGAATGGGGTTTAATAGATTAAAGGGGCATTTAGACAGTTCTGGGTGGGAGGAGGGAGTAGCTGAATATCATTTTTGATAATCAAGAGGTTTTTTTAGTTGAATCATGCTTCTCCACTGACAGATGAGCTATGTGGCTTATTGCTCTCCTTGGCACAAATTTTTTAAATAATTGTAAAAGCTCAACATTTTTTAAAAGATCAAAATTATGTAAAGAGATAAAAGAGTAGTCACCAAAATAATCCAGACATGATGGGCCTATGGGCAAAAGCTTATCGGATAGTCGACACACTAGTCACTTCCTCCCCCCCCGCTTGCTGCCTCTATCAGAAAGAGGCAGTGTGGGAGGGAGGAAGGAGAGGAGGAGGTGCTGAGGGGAACCAGGGGAGGGGGCAGTGATGCAGCAGCAGTGTTTCACATTTGCAATGTACAAGAGTCCCTGCTGGGGCTCTTGTACATTTCAAAGTGGAAGCGCTGCATGGAGCCTGAGGCTAGCGGGGGACTCCAGGTTTCATGCAGCATTTCAATCTTTGAAATGCACAAGAACCCCTAGTGGGGCTCTTGTACATATCAAAGGCAGAATGCCGTGTGGCACCACTGTCTTAGAAACATAGTAACAGCCCAGTGGGCTCTTGCTACGTTTCAAAGCAGAAGCGCCCTTATCGATTAATTGAATAACAATGGAAATTTCATCAACTATTCAATTAATTGATTAATCTAATTTTAACATCCCTAGTCTCTATTGAAGCCAATCAAAAATGGCCTTTGGGGTCTGTTTGGCCCTGAATCTAGGGCTACAGATCCCTTCAATTTTGGGTGGGCTTCAGAGTAATCTGTGGGTGGGAACAGTTTGACTCAGAGACTGCGACTGATAATATGAAGGTTGTCACAAGCTTCCTTTTGGCTGGTTGCCTGCAGTTGGAACCAATATTAGCCTTGAACAATTTTTTTGCCTCAATTTCCCTCTCTGTAAAATGGAAATATGCCACCTACCTTATAGCTGTGATTCATGTATTCAAATGTCTAACTGTACCAGTCTGACAACTTTCAGTCCACACAAAATCACAATTACTTGAATGCAGCTGACACAACTGGGCACTCTAACATGGACAACAACTGCAAATCTTACTAGATAAAAGGAGCTCACATAACTCTGCCAGGTCAAAACAACAATTCCCATTCCAACCCCTCACATCTTCTGTCATCCCCCCACTGCCGCCAACCAGCCAGCCCATTCACCAATCTCCTTGTTGATCAGCTTGTACAGGGTTGTAAACTAAGAGAGCAGCCACACTTTGCATTAACTAAAGTTTCCGAGGAGTCTTCAGGGAAAGCTGGATATTAAAAAAAAAAAAAAAAAAAATTGCAGTAATCCCATTCAGATGTGACTCAGGCATTGATAACTGTTGTGAGGTGTACATATTTAAAAAGGCACTCTTGGCCGCTGCTTCTTTATGGGCATTCAAAACCTGCTGAGGAGCTAGCCACAGTGTTGCTAACTCTTTGCAATGTTTACTGTTTTTCTCAAATCCCCTACCTCCTGAAGCCAACAATCTCAACTTTTATTAGAAAAGCAAGTTTCCAACCCTCATAGGTGAAGAGAAAAGCCTGAGTGTAACCTAAGGGCTCAGAAACCAAGTCAAATTAAAAGAAACCCCAGTTTTGTTTATTTAATTTTATTGCTTTTAAGATAATCTACTGACAATTGGAGGGCCCAACTCATGATTTTTGAATGACTGAGGTTGTCAGTTTTGAAATAAGCCCTCAACCTAGAAGTCTCCCTATATAAAAGCATGGAAACGTCACAACTATTCTAGAGAAAATGACCCAACTCCAAAAGTCCAGTGCTTACATTATCTCCCCTCCCATTTTCTGCCAGCTTGATCAATCACCTCCAATGAACTGATTGGGGGGGGGTCATTCACTCTAACCCTCTACCCAAAAGACCAATCGCTGTTTCATTTCCAAACAGAACTGTTGACCCAAAAGATATAGCCCCTGCCACACAACAATGCTCAAATCCCATTTCCAGAATGGGGCAAGTCAGCTTTTTGTCAGTCAAAGCTTCCCTGAGGTACGACAATAGAAACTGGATGACCAGAAACTGTCTGGAGGCTTCCTCAGAGTCATTAAAATTATTTAAATTAATACGACTGAAATCATGATTATTTATGGACAATTTGTTCTGAATTACTCTGAATACTCTTGATCAGTGCAGCAGGTGGTGGACCAGTAGGAAGAATAGAGTTTTTATGAAAAAGCATCCACATGAACAAGACTGTTTATTCATCATTCCATTAGGTTAACCATTTGCAAGACTCATACAGAGTGACATCAAAGCCAGAATCCCAGTTGCTTGATTCATTTCATTTATATTAGATTCATTACAGAGATTACAACTTCATTTACCTTTGTTTGCAATTAATCTGCAATTTCCACTATTTATAGAGGTTGTTTGATTATACACTGCCAGTTAATGTAATTGTAATAAATCTCTTTCATGCACAACTCCTCCCACACACCTATACTCTCAGGTTTGAGTCTTCCATCTTTTACTTCAATGTCACACTGACCATGTAGTCACATTAATGTAAAATAGTGTCTCTCCTGTCCCTAAAACATCTGCATCAAATTACATCTTTGCACAGAAAAATAATTCTGCCCTTGCATTCATGCCATGCCCATCAGAGAAGAGAAGAGAAGAGAAGAGAAGAGAAGAGAAGAGAAGAGAAGAGAAGATGATTATGTTACTCACTAGGAACTCCAGAAACCAGTCGTAAGGGGCGTAACACTCGGAAAGCCCGCAATGCTTTAACATCGAATCCGGCACCTTTCCCTCCTATTGAATTCGCCCCATCTGCTTTGGTTGCTTGTTCTAAAATTGCACTAAAAAGCCTGAAAAAAGGAAAGAGGAAACAATTTGTAGTAAGTCTCAGGCTAAACAGAAACATTAATTAACATCTTAATATCATTAAAATTACCTCACAAACCCACGAGATGTATCATATATCAGGCATGAGAATCATATGTAATGGGGGAAAACAATATCCTGTAGTCTAGTAGAATGGGAACTGAAACGTAAGGTAGGAGACAGAAGTTCACATTTCTGTCCTTCCTCTGACTGCTATTAATACTTCTTTGCATCTTACAACCTTTATTAACTGAGGCTTTACAATAGGAGGGCAATTATTCAACTATTTTAGGGTCTTTGGGACTAGTATGTGGGCGGGGGTGGATCGCTGCAATGGAAATAGTGTGTGTGAGGGGTTGTCAGTGTTTCAGCCTGTCCACCAATATCTGAGAGTAGCCTCTGCTGCATTCACACAGAGGAAGATAGGACAGCAAGATCTGGAGGAAAGGCTATAGCAGCTACCAAGGCCACAAGAACAATCTGGCTTGTGGGGATCAGATAGGACTCCACAGCCCAGCCTGGCTCCACCTTCCAGCCACTGCAGGTCCCAGAGGAGACGGCCAGTTCCAGGGAGGGGCAGGAGCACACTCACCAGCCTGCATAGTGAGGTGGGGTATGGGAGAGTGTATCAGCACCTGGTTGGAAGGCAATGATGCACAGTGAGCCAGATGCGCAGGAGGTGAGGTTAATACAGGGCACAAGACACCAACTACAGGCATGGCAATAAGAACTACTGAGATACACCTTCCCAGCCTGGAGCTAGCTACCCCCTCGAGTCTCAGAAGCCGTCCTTCCTCCTTCTCCTATCCATCTGGTCCTCCATTCCCAGGGAGTTCAGTCCCCTGACCTATTTTACATCTAACTCAGGTTCCACAAGGTCACTGCAGATGAAACTGGCAACAGAACTCAAGTCTTATCTGTTGTGCCAAAATTCCTTTCAGAGTAACCATATCGTATTATCCAATAGTGTAGTCCATGTTAACATAGTGTGGTTCTTTGATTCTTCCCACTCTCCAGGGTTAAAGATATGCTTTTAGATCCAGAGATTTCAGTCTCAAACCTTCATGAGTACCCAAACAGCAGCATTCATTACTTCTGGCAATGCTGTTTCTATTCACATTCTACTTTGAGACCCAGGAATAGAATCTGCAAATCCTAGGATCAAATATTTCAGTGCTATTTCCTTCCTAGATATAATATTTAGTATTTCAACCCTCTGGAAAAGTATGAATCCTAGCTCACATGATGGGCTGGTCCTAATAGAAGATAACAACATATTTGCTTACCAGTTACAAGTGTAGATGAAGTGGAAGAGGTATGTAATCTGAAAATCCTGGGTTCAAACTCTAACGATGGCTTAAGGCAGGGCTACTCAACACGGAGCCCATGGCCTATTTGTTTGAGGCCCACAGTGCGGTTTGGGTTTATGCGGGACTCAACACGCGGTGCGCAGGTGGGATCCTTTGAACATGGCTTCCACTAGACACATGCTCCTCAATGGCAAGGCATCTCCCAGGTGGGGTGAGCATTGAAAGATACAAGTGGAAGGCCTGGCTGGAGCAGATGGGTACAAAGTATCGGTGTTTCTAGCCCCCAGGGAGGAGGTGCCGGGAACACCGGAGCATTGTGAGAAGTGCTTTGTATTCATGCCTGTCAGTGTGAAATAAGCTATTTGCATATATTTGCATATGTATTTGCATGTATATGCAACCACTCTTAAGTTGCAGCCCTTGGCATGTGCTTTGAGTATCCTTTTGGTCCCCGGGGCTTCCAAAGTTGAGTAGCCCTGGCTTAAGGGGTGGGATAAAAATATAATAGGAAAAAGTGTGAAATCTGGAAAAAGGCAATTGTTGACATGATGTCATGCCATATTACAGAATATTTTAATTAGAGATGAATTTGGATTCTCAGACCTGTTTGATTGTGATATTGTTAGTGTTCTACTTTGGTTAATAGGAGGTATCTCTTTAAAATAGGGTGAGGCACTTAATTATAATGTGTTTGAAGAAAGCAGAGATGTTGCCCACATGCACAGAAAGTGGAAGTCCCAGCCTGTGAAAGGTCACAACGTGATTTAATAAACTTATCTTTCAACAAAGTAAACATCACTCTCAAGGTACAACACTGGCATTTATCAGGAGAGCGGATAGCTGAGAGCATTGCTAAGGAACCACAAAGCCTGTCACCTAGGAATTCATTCTGAACCTAGCTGGACTTAAACAGATTAAAAGAGTTGCTCCCATCCAATGGTGCTGCTAGATCAGGTAAGTTCAGGGGTGTGAGTTCTAGCTCCCATGCCACAAATTCATCCTCATGCTTTGAACTAACTGGCAGTCTTAGCAAAGAAGTCAAAAACTACATGGGCCATGGAGAAGGGAACAGCCCCTATTGCCTTTAGAGACAATCCATGTAGTTCCAGGTTGAGGCATGCTGGCAGGGCCCCTCGTGTAAGAAGCTTGCCTTGTAGATAAAAAGAAATGTCCATTCTTTATGGCCCTCAGGCCAGTACCTTTCACCACCACTAATTTTCTTAAGCTAAAGTATCTGGTTATATAAATGTTATTTGCAAATGTGAATTTTAGCTTTTTAAAACATTTCCATAAAATGTCCCAGCTGGTGCTACACAGAACTTGGCAACTATGGTAGGAGAGCTGGTTGACTCCATTCAAAGTCTTAATTTAAAATACTGCTAAAAAATTAACAGCTATGCAGTGAATGTGAGAAGAGGCAGGAGAGTAGAGGGAAGGATCTAAAGTTTGTTGGTGTTGCAAATTAAAGTGCAGGACCAAGGGAAGACAAAACCTGAGCCCATCGGAAATACTGAGAGGGCTACAGGGATCACAGATAGACAATGAAATAAATGAGGGCCTCAAGATAGGATCCTGTCCCTCCTCATTCACAAGACAACCAAGGGTCAGTTTTTTTATGAAAACCTCTTGAAAAAACCTACAGTAGATACTAGAGGAAGTGGGGTGATTGACTCCGTAGTTCTTGCCATGTACGTCTAGACTACATGCCTCTGGTGACAGAGGCATGTAGATTAGGCTACCAGACATAGGAAAATGAAGCAGTGATTTAAATAATTGCCGCTTCATTTAAATTTACATGGCTGCTGCGCTGAGCCGACAAACAGCTGACCAGCTGTTTGTCGGCTCAGCGCGATAGTCTGGTCGCGCGGGTGTCGACATCAAAGGTATTTGTTGACCACCCAGGTATGCCTCCTGGGATGAGGTTTACCTGGGTGGTCGACAAATACCTTTGATGTCCATACCCACGCGTCCAGACTATCGTGCTGAGCCGACAAACAGCTGATCAGCTGTTTGTCGTCTCAGTGCGGCAGCCATGTAAATTTAAATGAAGCGGCGATTATTTAAATCGCCGCTTCATTTTACTATGTCTGGTAGCCTAATCTACATGCCTCTGGCGACAGAGGCATGTAGTCTAGACGTATCCTCAGTAGGTAAACTAGCTGAAACACTCCCCCAGAATGATGTGAGAGACCACTGTGATGATGGAGGCATTTTCAATAAGATGTAAAAGCAAGAGTCTATAATCTTGCTGCCACCGAAGATCCCGTAGCACCTCACCAAAGCATATGAGAGTCTACCCCATTTCATCTCAGAAAAGCATGTTCTGCAACCTAACTTCCTCTTCCATTTCCAACGGGATACCATATTTTACACCTCCTGTTGAAACTGTTGTGGAGGGTTCAGGAGCATGAATAAATGATTTCTGTATCTCAGCTTAGGGGTCACTACATCCAGTTTTGGTTCATTTCTTAAAGATGAACTTCAACACAAATAAAAGATGAATAGTTTGTTGACTTTTGTTTCTTCTCGATGTATGAAGACAGCCTTGTTATCCCCCCCCCCCCCCCAATATTTTTTTTATGGTCTTTTTTACATCTGACATACAAGGTATTCTGTTTGGAGGACCTCAGGCAGATTGGTGGACTTCAATAGTGGCATGACAAGGCCGGCCTGCAGCTTTTATTCCCTGTCTTTGTGGCAGGATTGCAGATTCTTAGTGTCTAAGAGAAGATTTTATCAAGGGGCTATTACAAATAGAGGGAACTGAAGATCTGTTATTTCCAATGCAAATACCAAGCAGAGAAATGCCTTTGAGACTGAGTCAAGAAAGAAAAAGAAAAAGAAAAAGAAAGGCCATTTTTTGTGTGTTTGGCTTTACAGTTCACCTTTAAATATGGCTATTTTTTAACAGCAGGAAGTGTTTGTAAATGTGGAAGTGCTTGAATCTGCCCTTTAGAAAATTCCCCACAGGCTAAGAAAAGGCCCATTTCTACACCCCAGTTTCTGAATCTGTTCAGAATTTCTGACCCCTTGCAAATACCTTCAGTGCACAATCTAAGTAAGGTTGTTCTCTAAACTAGGATACCTTTCTCTTGGTAGAAACTGTGGGTTCTCAGAATATATTGCTCTTAGAAAATGCATTACATGCTGTCTGGAAAGAATCATATTCTTGTAACATGAAACTTTCAAGTCATTTTTCTCAAGAGAGGAAATTTCCTTCTTAGTTATGAATTCCAAGGACAACTCATGTATCAGAAAACCCTTTATTTTCCAAAAGGATAAAAACAAAATCAAAAGAACTGGGAAACAATTTAACTAATGATTAGTGGTTGTGGGATACGCTTCATTAGACAGCTTGACTGTGATCTTTGTTCTTAACTAGCAATGTTCTTAAACACAGAGCTTTATGACTGATACCTGTGCAAAGAGATTTTTCTTCAAAGCAATATTTAATGGCTCTGCCACAGAAAGGTTATAGGCTATTTGAGGATAAGCTAGATCAAGCTTTAAAGGACTTAGCTGCTCAGAAAGCAGATCTACCATATTGCAAGACAGATAAGTTGTTACAAGCCTGTAAGTCTAAAGTGCGTCTTTCTTCAGAAGGAATTCCTTTAAATCTAGATTTAGTCCTTGCTTTTAATGCTCTTCTCCTTTCCTGAGCTGGATTCCTCTGG